GGTTCTGCCAACACCCACCCTAATCCTTCCGCGTCCCAGATCCTGCATCACCTGTGCTAAGTACTTACGCTGCATCCACGCGAAAAGCCCTAAATCCTCCCCGTCACTAATCTTTGGGCCCCTCTGAGCTGGCACACGCCTAGTGAATGAACACCACGGGAAGCGCCGGCCTTCGGGATGCGATGTCGGAAGAAAAGAAAAAGGGGCCCACGTTGATGCTACTTATTTGAAGTTGGGATGGCTGGAAGGAACGCCTGCAAGAGAGACCTGAAGTTTCTTTTCATCTGAATTGCTCTTAAAGCAGATAAATCAAGGGTCACCAATCAAGAGCAACTCAAGGTCGTGTTATATAAGGGTTGAGGTCAATAGTTTGGATGCAGACCATTCACCCCCGTGCTGAGACGCGCCTATGGTGGCGCAGGGTTTTGCATCTCACCTCATCGAGCCTCGATACGGAGAACCCCCTGCCCTTCCCACTCTCTCCCAAGAGTCTCTTACCATCCCCTCCTGGCGGCTTGTAGGGATTGTACTTTGGTTTCGGAGCAACAACGGGGGCAAACTTCTTCGGCATCTGCTGGGAGGACACCGAGATGCTGGGGGTCCCGAAAGCATGCGTGGTCTCCATTCGTGCAGTCACGTGGCCAACGGGCTCGCCAGTGCTCTTCGGCGGGAGCCAGGACGGGTGAGACATGATTCAGATCTGAGCGGAGGGGAAAAACAAACAGGCAACATGCACCTTAGCCTTGAATGTGAAAACGCCAACCTTTGCTTTTGCTAACTTGTGTAATTAAAATAGACATACACCTTGAATGCACGCACCTTGCATTTTAAATGTATGGCTAGGAATGGGCAGCGGTTTATTTATCCCCTGGACAGACTATCGGAGACGGTGGTTAGATCACTGGCATTCGCAGCAGAGAAAAAGGGGAAAGATTACAACCAGCTGTCAACCCTCCTCTCCAGATTGGAGTCAAGACCAGTAGACAGGACAACATGGAGGCATCTTCCCCCACTGAAATGCGAGTTCTTGGGTCAAAGCCTTCATTCGGTGTCCACAGCCCATTCACGTCTTATCTGCCTCAATAAAACTGCCAAAAAAGGTGATCAGGTGCAACCCCTGTGCCAAGTGTGTGGGCGCTCGCTGTCCCGTGAAGGAAAGCCATGGCCTTGTGCATCCAGTACTACACCGAGACTTGCAAACTGGGGGTTTTTGATCCAGCTGTGGTCTCTTGTGCCCCTTGGAAAAGCCCCTGAAACCCTCAGTGCCTTTAACTTGGGGAAAATGCCCCTTCCTTCACCTGGGCCTTGAGGGGCTATTCATCACTATAGCACTAAGTGCAAAGGTTTTCAGGGGTGATGAATGATTCCAGATGCCACTGATTTTGGATGGTCAATTCAAGACTTGCTAAAATGCACCGTTTTTCTGGAAGCGCAGGGCGCCCTCTCCGAAAAGCAGCCCCCCTCTGGTGTCTCAACGCACAAACCAAAGCCTTCAAGTGGAAAACGAGTCACGGGGACCTTTGAAAAGCGGTACCCAGTTCATCGGGGGCTCCGCTGCGATGAACAAATGCACTTTGCACTGGCTTTTGGACAGCCAGGAGATGGCAACTATTTCAGTCATTATGCCCCCTAAACTGGATCGGAGCTGCAGCGAGGCGGCGAAAGCCCTGTATCCCTTTACTAATTCCCCGTCATCCACTCCGGTGAAGAGGGAAGGCGTCACTAGTTGCACCCTGCGCCCCGTTGCTGGTGTTTCACACTCCCCCCATTTAGGTTAGAAGGATTCGAGCTGGCAGCAGGCTCCAGAGACTGCTCAGGGAGGCTCTCTTGAACCACAATGCACAGGGAAGGATCAGTGTGCAAAGCGGAGTGTGGGGCCACGGATGGCATCCTCTGATCGCTGTTGTGTAAAAAGCGTTTCCAGCTGTGAGCAACAAGACACACCAGAGTCGCTGCCGGGTTCGCAAAGAAAGCTGCCTTCTAGCTGCAGCTGCAAGCACCTTCCGACGGCGCCGGCACACACGGCCAGCCACGATCTCCCTGCAAATGAACGTATTAATCAGTGCAAAGGGGCGGCGGAGTGAGTGGGTGCAAAGGCTTCCAGGGGAGGGAAATCATTACCGAACCCTGCAGCGATATAGCTCTCTAATTACCCCAACCCAGGCAGAGGCCCCGTGGCCGTGCACACGGGAAATCTGTTTGAACGTCTCCCGAGGCGGTCTTTTCTGGAGCCAGGAACACCAGTTGCATATCGCCTACTAAAGGGCAGCCCTTCCAAGCTGAAAGTGAGCGGGCAGCTGCTACCGCCACCTCTGCCATCTATCTACCCCTGGACTGGAAACCAAGCATCTCCTCACTGGTGCTGCTGGAGAACTCAGCTGCCGCACCAGACGGCCCGCCTGCCAACTCGGCGTATTCTCGGGATTGCAAAGTTTACAGCTGCCGTGTGCAAGCTTCTCACGTTGCAAAAAAAAGAAAAGAAAAGGCAACTTCTGCAGACAGCTCCAAGTGTGATAGGAAATGTTCGAACAGGAAGGCGACACATCTGGAAGCTGATTTAAGCCTGTCACCATCTGATGCTTCTAGACGTTGCATCTTCATCTATTTCCCCATACATATCACCGGGTAAGTCAAGTTTTCAGACCTGAGCTATTCTGACTCACCCTGGCCACCGAGGAGAAGAAACGGCAGAGTTTAAATCATGGGTCACAGGGGGCAGAGAGAGGGACAGAGAGTGCAGGAGGGAGCCTCGGCCTGTCTCAACTCAGTGATTTGCCGTTTGGGAATAAAGTCACGCCAACGGGTAACGTGAGAATCCCAATTACCAGGCTGTCCGCAGCATCCCTACAGGTCACTGCTCAGCCCATGTCATGGCTTGTGGCAGTAAAGGTCCCATTTTGGGTGCAAGCTTTCTTGATCTCCCCCTTGGCCCAGAGCCACTTCCACCGTAATGCTTCCAGCAGGGAAAGCACCACGTTAACACAAGGACCGCCGCGGATGGAGAAATAAAGCCTGGCTGGACAGCTGATCCAGGCCTAAAAAATGGACAGAGGGTTGAAAAGAAATGGGCATTACTTAATCTAGGGAAGAAAGGAAAAGAGGGAGGAATTTAGTAACACTTTTCAAACACTAAAAGGGCGGGTGAACAGAGATGGTGATCCACCGTTTTCTATTTCTACTGGGGAGAGGACAAGAAGCGATGGGAGAAACAGGTGAGGTAAGTCAGGTGAACTTTTGGATGGAGAGGGTATGAAATACAAAATGAAATAAGCTTTGCATGTTGAGACTTCATAAGCCCTGGAACGGGGGACCTGGAAAGACCGTGAAATCTCTGCCATTGCAAGCTGTTACAAGCAGGGGAGACAAACCTGTGTCTGGGATGGTTTAAGGCAGGGACGAGACTGCCTTGAGCAGCACGCTGCACTAGGTGAGAGCCGATAGATGGATAGATGGATAGATATAGGGATATAGAAATAGATAGATAGATAGATAGATAGATAGATACTCTATCTATCCATCTAGCTAGCTAGGTACTGCATATCTATATCTATCTATCTAGATAGATACTGCATATCTATCTAGCTAGACAGCTATAGATATGTATATCTATATATCTATATGTATATCTATATCTATCTAGATAGCTGGATATAGAGAGATATAGATATGCATATATAGATATAGGTAATGTATATCTATCTATATGTATATCTATATCTAGATGGAGACAAATAGATGTACATTATCTATATCTAGCTATGCCTATACATGTATAGATATAGATATGTATGTATGTATATCTGTATAGTTATATCTATCTATCTATCTAGATTCGTAGTTTCTAGGGTCAGAAGGGACCTCAACAGATCATCGAGTCCGACCCCCTGCCTAGACAGGAAAG